AGTAAATAATCTTGCAAATTATTTTGTAGTGAAGGCAGTTTTCTTGTGTATATGTTGAATGCTCATGTTAGATGTTGGAAATGCTTAGACAAGAAAAGAAGCCAACGTGAATAGTGAAAGAATTGTCTTTGTGTTCACTCTGATATCCTGAGGTGCCATAAGATGCTAGAAAAGCAATACACAATATAGTGGAAAGCAGTATACAGTGAACATAGTTGTTTGCCTTGTCTGCCTCATCATTTATCTACAGTAAGACTTTACTTCAACTCCTCTCTGTTTATCAAATAAATGATTGTTATGTACAAGCCAGCATTCAGACTAAAATTGGGAAAGAGGTATAAACCTTTCCTCACTTCAGGGTTGCAGAGAATCTAGCAATTGGTATTGATAGCTAAGCTATCAAGTTGCCTTTGAATTTAAAACAGAGTAAAGTCACATACCAAATACTACTTCCTTTGTAAGAATGATTAGTTATAAAGCCACTAAATACAAGCTACAAATTGGCAGCTGAAAGTTTATTTTTCTTGGCTGAATAGTAAGGATATTTTCAGTCTCATACCTCTCTGCTTAGCTAAACTATATAAATAGTGGTTAAATTCTTTTATATTCAGTCAAGTAGCTGCCCCTTAGAATTAGTAACAATCTTGAAAAATGTGCTATATTTCTGTGTTTTAGTTCTGGAATGAAGCCTTGCCAGAAATGCACCTCCTCAATATTTTTTTTTTTTTTAATAACCCAAATGACAGTTAAGAGATAAAAGCTACATTGTCCCAGCAATGCAGATTACAGCCTTTGAGCCCAAAATAATCTAGAATTAGTGGGGTGCAAACTGACCCTGCCAAAGGAAAGTGCTGTAGTGAAGAGCACAAGAGAAAGTAATGTGGGGAAACACAGGGAAACACAATTCTTAATGTATTGTATTGGAACATCAAATAGTATATTTGAATATCATAACTTTGTGACTGTATTAGAGGAGGGTGATTGGATTAAAGCCTGGATTGTTTTGTCTGTGCTTAAGGACTTCTGCCCGTCCCTACAAGCACTGCTCTTTCTGAGTTTGGTCTGAGGATTTCACATTCCGGATATATAGATTTCCTGTCATGCTTATTATCACAGCTGTATTACAAGCAGTTAACTTACATGGCAAGAATTGCAAAGGACATCTTGATCAATCATCAAGATCAGATTAGACAAGGAAAAACAAACCCTGAACTAGATGCTAGAGGAACTTTTGGTAATATACATAGAGGAAATTATGTTACTTAGAAAACATGACATTAAGTAGATCTGTTAAGAGAGTCTGAAGCAGTTTCTGGCAGCATTTTATGATGTGGCAGTTCTAGACAACCTTTTAATTGGTTATATTTCTATCTTCTGCTTGAAAACATATTTTCTGAAAAGATACTTAATGAACTGAGAAGCCAGTTACTATTTTTGAAAGGGTATTTGGCAGATGATTATAAAGCCCTGCAGAGGTTAATTGCCAGTGCATTATCTTAGGCTGTATTCCAGAGAATTCACGAAGCTGCTCAGAAACAAGAATGGAAGTTGAAAAATGGCATTCATTCCCTTGCATTGCAGAGCAGCAGCAATAAATTACAAAGTCATGCATACAGTCTACAGAGGTTTGTTTCCTACTCCATATAACTGGAATAAGTTCTTCTATTAAGTCGTAGGAGGGTAAATATGTTGATTATTACATTGATAATTACAGTCCTCTTGATTCCACTTTATATTTTGAGAAAGTCTTCACACTGTCAAAGTGTGGTTATTAGCATGGGCTTTTGCATGAATACAAATCTGCTAACTGTATAGAGACATTTGAGGTAAAAGTTGTTTCTTTTCATTAATTTTTGCATGCATATTAATACATACCAGTATCCATACAGCCCCATGTTCAGTGATGTCTATAAAATGGATAAAATTTTGGAGACTTTATTTTAGGCCATGTGCAAGTAGCAAGAGGTCAGTTGTTGATCTAGTGGTCACCATTAGTCCTCCATTACGACAATGAATTTGAGGACCACCAATGATTCTCTAAAGGATGTTCATAGTTCCATGTTCATAGTTTTTTGTGTTTTTTTTTAAGAGAATTTTGAAACTTGGATGCTCCACAAGAGTTACTGCAGGCTAACATTACTTCTCAAGGATGGTTCTTGTCTAGTAATTATTTTTCTGCTTTTCAGGAAGAGAGTTGCATGATAGTAGCAGAAAACCATTTATGATAATTAGCTTACTTTCTCCTCTCGTGTGTTAGCACCAATAAAATTAATTATTTTCTGATTGCTTACTGACTCTTTGTTTAACAGAGTTTTATTATAATTTTTTATTCCTTTAAGGTTTTTCTAAAGAAAAATAAAGTATGATGTGTGGTATAGTGATAAGAAGTACTTGGAAAAAAATGCTTCATTTCTCACCATCAAAACATTTCAATTGACTGTGAAGGCTTAACATGATGCTAATTTCTTCGTCACATAATTAAATTTTCTCAACTCTGCCAGCAAGGTGTCTATGGCTCTGCTGCCTTCCTCAGTACTTGCCCTTGGCCTGGGATAATGAACAAGTTTTTCAGCTTTTGTTTTACCTGGATTTCAATAAAGTCTTGCAAGCTTTTGTGATTAGACTTCTCTATTAAGAGTATATATTCAAGGAATGTGTTTTCACCAGATTCAATACTATGTTAGGAATAAAGTTGAACTCTACTTTTTCTGAGCCATGTTTGTCTATTTACAGTACAGTGTGTGTTAATGAGGGTTATTCCAAGGTATCACTGCCTAACAGCGAGCAGCCCAGAGGCAAATTCCAGATCCCAGTGTTGAGAACTGATTTATTGCCTGCCTGCAATTAACAATTGGGCTTAAGGGTCTGGACAGAAAAGTAAAATAAGACTCTTTCAGCTCATATGTTGAATACAGCCTTGTTGACCTTTTCCATTTAAGATGAAACTAAAAGATGAGGTATCACAGATTTATTATGCAGCACTTACTTCACAGTGTATGGGGGAAGAGAACAGTGATATTTAAATTTACTTAAAGGCCTTACATTGGTTACACATCAAAGAATGAAAGTGGGAGATGTTTGGTAGAGAAAACAGACAATGAAGTATGTCCAGCACTGAAGTTCATATGTTTTTTTCCTTCTTCCCTCAGGGTAAAAAAAAAAAAAAAAAAAAAAAAAAAATCACTGTATATTTAAATGAACTTTACCATCTTTCTTTGATTATTTGAACCTGTGGGAGCTAGTGTCAAAACTGCTTTGCTTGTGTCCCCATTTGTTTATGTTAATATGTATTTTCTGGAGGGAAGGGGAGAGAACGAAAGAAGAAAACTTGTCATAGCATAGTTCATGAAATACAGCTATTCTGAAGAGGAAAGGCATCTTCTGCTACTAAAAACTTTATTGCTGATCCCAAACAGTATTCATGTTCCAGGAAATGGGGTAAAAACATTTTCCACAGGAAACCTTCCTTGGTAGATCTGCTTTGTTTAATCAAAAAAGCCAATGCTCTTGGCTGGCTCTCAAGACAAACATTGTGGTATCCCATTGAGCTAGCTGCAGGAACATGCTTATATTCCTCTGGTGAAGGCTGTTACATGTCTTGACCTAAATATTATGGAGTAAAATTGTGACTTGATTAGAAGCTGATAGGTTTTGTTTAAGGGGTTTTCCTGAGATATAGCAGTCCACTCTGTAGCTTTTGGACAGGTATCTGTCAAGTTACAGTACAGAATAAGAGATTTTTGTCTCTTGGCTAGCTGCAGTGACGGCATTTAATTTGGAACTCCTTATGGAGGACTTTTCTCCTACCATCTGTAGATGATTGAATATGTTAACTCACAAAATGGTATTATGTTTAGCACCCAGTATGTATCTTTCAGTCTTTCTTTGATACTGCTGTTTCAACTGTACATGTTCTCTCTTTCATTAAATAGCTAAAGTTCAAGTGGTTTAAAACTTATTTTTTCTTACATGAAAATAGCGTTATTCACATACCAGAAAGCTAAGTAATGTCTGGGATTTATTAAATCATTCAGCAAAGTTGACCACAGACAGTTGCATATAGAACAAATGCGGGAAGAAAAATAATCTCATGTTGGCAATGTTCATAATACTATAACACACACACAGACAGAAAACCAAACACTTGGTATTGTTTCTGTTTATGCATTGCTATTTCTTTTTAGACCTTTAACTAGCTTAACATTTTTAGGTATAGAGGATTTGATCAGAGAGGAAATATGTAAGCTTAAGTCATAGAGATGATGCAAAAACGTTAACTTTGGTATTATGTTGATGTCTTGGTACAGTGGTTATGGGTTATATCAAGGTATATATTTACTTGATATGATATTGATACATTTTATTGCTAACTTTATGTAATTCTGTACTTCTTAAAATCTTGAACTTCAAGTGTATTTACAAAATTTTGTTACTGCACTGTTCAGAAAAAGCAGCATTATTGATGTTGGAACTTTGGTTGTTTTCTGTATCTGTTCCTGGTATTCCACATACCTGTGAGCTTTGCCACCTTATCTGATCAGCTCTTTGTACATAAAATGCTAGTTGTGAAACAGCAGAAATATTAACATGAGCATCAGACAGTACTAACATAAGACATAAGAAGTAACTGAACAACGTTCTTGAGAGTTTCATGCTCTTACAATTTCCTGAACATTAAACTCATTTTTAAATCACAAACAGTATCCAAAATTTGAGCAAAGGCAATGGAAACCGTTACTTGTTGTGTAAGGCTATAACCTGTAACATATGCATTATTTACTCTCATGAGTAAAAGAGCATCAAATACAATAACTGAAAATTATTTCTGCTACAACACATCATTGTTTTTTGTTTATATTGAGTTACAACCCAGGGAAATCTTTAAACTTTGTTTTGCCTTTTTTAAATTCTATTGTTTGCACATGAAAGGATATTTGTTGTGCAGATTAAGTGGTTTGTGACTAGGGTTGGCTAATATATTATTTTGTTTTAATTTTTAGAGGACTGTGGGACATATTTCCCAGAAGTGAAAAATCATCCAGAAAAATACTTACGAAGATGTCCCAATTCTGTAAAAAAGTGGCTGAAACAACTGAAGAGTGCTGGGAAGATTCTGCTATTAATTACCAGTTCTCACAGTGACTATTGCAGGCTCCTGTGTGAATATATTCTTGGGTAAGTGCAGTGTCCATTTCAAATAATATTTCCAGATGCCAAATGGAAATAAGCCTGAGCTACAGGAAGGTTAATTTTCCTTTCTTTATTTGTTATAAATTATTTTTATCTTAAGTTTCTGGTAGGTCTATCTCTAGTAGCAAGGTACTCAAGACAAAGTAGTTCATTTATTAGTTTGTGAGCTTTATCTGGCCCACAGCATAAATATCTTACATCTTTTCTGGGCATCATGATGGATTTAAAGACATAAAGAAATATCTTCAGGCCAACACCTAATGGAAGGCAACATCTGAATACCATCCATTTTTACAACGTTATATGTGCCTCTCTCATCATAAGTGCCAGCAGTAGTTATATTTCTCTTCTTTTCACATTAAATCTGCACAGAAAAACTTACAAATACTTCTTCCTCATAATAGCTTCCACAAGATGGCTGTGCATGAGGAATGTGCATTTGCAGATCACAGCAGAAAAGATAAAACAGGTAGTTGATTGCACTTGGCAGTCAGTTGAGATTTGCAGCTGCTGACAACAGCTATTTTTTACCTGTATTTTTTTTAACACAACTGGTCAAGTCACATTCAGTGAAATGAAGCAGAACTTACACCTCCAGAAAGGAATTAATCAGTGATGCTAGTGGTTAGGCGGGTGGCATGGTGAAACTAGTGAATCGAAGAAACAAATGTAGTACAATGTGAGCCAATCTTGACTATCTGGATATGCAAGGAAGCAGCAAAGTGAATACAGCAGCACAGTTTAAAAAAAAACACAGGTAAACTGGAAACCAGAGCAACCTCCCAAAACCAGTCCCACCAGTATCACTTGTCTATTGTTCTCTATGGGCTAAATGAAGCATCAGCTGTACCAGTTCTCACTGCTTTGTATGAATATTATGCATTGTCATCTGATGGGGTAAACCCACCTCCTTGCAAAAAAAAAAAAAAATTCTTCTATTGAGAAAGTTGTTTGTGAATTAACTTTTTAATGTAGATCTGTCTAGTGGTTTTCTGAACAAAAATTTGGTATAAAACTAAAATCATTAGCTACATATAATGATTTTGGCTTTTTTCCTTGGTGAAATATGTTTCAGCAGTTTTCACAGAATCAAAGGGGTTGGAAGGAACCTCTGGAAATCATCCAGACCAACCCCCTCCCCACTAAAACAGATTCTCTACAGTAGGTTGCACAGGAAGGCATCCAGGCAGGTTGTTAATATCTCCAGAGAAGGAGACTCTGCAGACTCTCTGGGCAGCCTGTTCCAGTGCTCTGAAGGCAGCAGTAGAGATCCTACTAAAACATGATAGAGAAGATTGGCTGCCTCTCAAAAGACAGAAGAGATACTCTGCTGGAAGAATATTGGATCACTTTGTCTCTTTTCTCATGAGTATATGATATTCTAAAATCATCTTTTCCAGTGACTGATCAAAACTGGCTTCACAGACATCTTCTGGAGTAATAAGTACTTCACTGTCCATTAAATCTTACTGAAGTATTTTTTTGTCTTGAAAGTAATTCTAAACACTCTGTTACTCTTATTTACTCCATGCCTCCTGTATCAAATGATGAATCTCTACTTTCTCTAGCTGCTTTTTGTACCACTAGAATACAGTCTAGGTTCATATATACTATCTGTTCTTTTAACCTTAATTTTGCCAGGTTAACTGCATTTTATTTTTTTACATCAACCCTTGTGAATTGCTTCATTTTCCTTTTTTTAATATTTCTTTTCAGTTAATTAATAGTACATTTAAAAAAAAAAAAGATGAAAAGTGGAGATGTGTGAAGTTTTCACCACTTAACAGTTCCAAGATAAGGATATTATTTTTAAATTATTTTCAGTTTCTTGAAAAAGTTCCCCTTTTGCAAAGAAATTGCTGTCCACCTAAAATCAGCAGTGAGAATTTAATAATAATTAAATAATAATTATTTAAATATTTATTAAATATTTAAATAATTTAATAATAAATAATAATAATTACACTTTTCTATACAGAAAAAAAACACACAACAGAAGAGGATGCTTTAGTGAAGTTGTTGTACTAGTTTGTCAAATCCTGAACACTGAATTTAATTTCCTTTGCTTTCCAGAAATGATTTTGAAGAATATTTTGATGTTGTGATCACAAATGCTTTGAAACCTGGCTTTTTCTCCCATACTCCAAACCAAAGACCTTTCCGAACTCTTGGTAAGTTGCAGCCATGACTTCCTTCTCACCTTCTTACATCTGTTATAAAGAAAAAAATATGAGAGGACTGAACCGAACAAATAGTCTGAACAACATATTTTGAAAATGTGGCTTAATACATAAAATGGATTCTACACAAGTCTCTTCTAAAGATATTAGTAAGAAATTCTGTTAAGACTGAGGAGCACTGAGAAATTAAGATTTAGAGTGAAAAGGCAAATCTGTGACAGTGATTAAAAATGGTATTGATGCTCAGATATTGCATCATTAATAAAAAATTAAGAATCTTATTCTTTGCTGAGCATAATATAACAGAAACATTTAAAGATTTAAGAATGGTACAAATAAAATTGCAAGGTTAGAGGAAATTATTTATGATGGAAATCTGACAGTATTAAATGTGTGTACTTTGGTTAAATCACAACACAGTAGGCAAATGGAAGTGCTACTGTACTCAATTCAGTCAAAACGTTCTGAAACATTTAGCACTTTTGACAACCTAATTAAGAGCCATTAGGTAATTAAGGTTGTAAAAAAAGTTTGACAAACAGTGTTTGTCAAACTACAAGTAAGAACAGAAACATGGCTGAAGCCAGTTAATTTTTCCATATTCTCTTCAACATCAAAATGATTAAAAGCTGCTTAAGAATTAACCTTTGTATCCAGAATAGGATACACCAGCATACATTTTAGTATTTTATGACAGGAAAATCAGCTGTTGTAGACCAAAAGAAAAACTGGCTGTGGAACTTTTATGGTAAAACTAAGACTAGCAGTGGAAATATATATTAAAGCTGCATTTTAATGTTTCTTCTGTCCACATAGGAAAGTTAATAATAAAGATGTTAAATGAAACCTTTAAAGGTTTAATACAACTAGGAAATTGCAAGTTGACAATTCTAGAAAAAATATACTTAGAGAACTATTACTATGGAATGGGGAAAATAAAAAAAAATATAAAGGGTAAAAAAAGCTCATTTCTGTAAACATTTTATTTAACTGCATATAATGCAAACTGAAAATAAAATATAATCCACTTTGGATGTTTTAAACAATCTTATTAGCCTCATTTCCTAAGGAAGTCCTGCTGTGTCGCTGTTGGTAATCCAGCTAGCAACGTTTGAACCTTTTGGTCAGTTTCAGTAAATTCAACAGACAGGCAAAAATTTTTCTTTGCAACAAGGTCAGAAGAGGGGAAAAAGACTTTGCATTACTGTCTCCTTTGAGAAATATTGTGTAGAATTAGCTTAATCACATTGTGTGACTGTAAGTACCAATTTTCATGAAGCTATTTCTTTCTCCTGCATTCAGACAGAAGTAGCATTCCCTGGAACCCTCTTGCTGACTCATTAGTTTTCATTCACTATGTTCTGGCATTGCAAAGATGCTCAAGTGAGGGTTGCTCACTCATTAAAATGTATCACTATACTAATAGATAAGTGGCACAAAGGTATATAAAGCCATCAGATAAATAATAAGCTGTGAGTGGATTTATTTTTAATAAATTTGTATTTTATGGACAGTAAATGGCTTTTTCTGAAAAATGAACCTGAGCATTTAAAGCAAAGAATTATACTTTAGAACAAGCTGTTAGAGACACGGTTTAAAACAGCAGAATGCTTGTTTAAGACTACGTGAAGTTTAATGAATAGAATAATTATGTGAGGAAATGTCCAAAATAATAATACACTTTTATAATGTATCTTTTGCTGCCCTCCTTTTGTGTTCCTCACAATAAACATACAGCTTCAGGGCAGGCACTGATAATTTCACCCCTTTGATTTGCCCATCTATTACAAGGTCAAATGTTATAAATGTATTTAAGGCAAAAAATATGGAATGTGTTTTTTAATTTCAAACATCTCAAGTGTTGTTGCATTGTGAACTGGAGATGAATTTCATTCATCCATCAAAGGATTTTTGCTGCAGATTTATTAAGAGGAAGTCTTTGAAGCTTACAGAAGAGAGTAAATTCTTTGCTGTGAATGATTTCAAACAGGTGACTGTGTTCAGTAAACATTTGAAGGAGGACAAGAAGCCGGACAATGTGACAAAGAAGTCATTGTCTAGAGATGTGAGATCGGATAACTGTTGCACAGAAATGTTGTTGTTGTTGTTTTTCAGTTGGCAAATCATTTTAAAACTAATCCATTTAGAACAACGAAAATGATTTTAACTGTGCAATTAAAAATGCATCATTACTTCATCTGAGTTTCAAGACACGCACCGTTTTAAGAAACCGAAACACATTTTGAAGTCTTAAAAAAATCATGTGACTACTTTTTGTTCAAGCGAGGCACTGAAAAGCACAGTATTTCATTATTTGTTTAGCATAGTTATCTTTCAGTGCATCGTTCTGTTAAATGAAGGAACAGCTTATACGTATCTTTCTAGCTTTCTTAACAGCTACATTTAGTTTTTCCTGGAAAAACAGTTTTTATACTTAGGTGTATCTTAAGCACATAGTTTGTGAGAACAGTATTATGTAAATAAATTGTTCCCATAATGCAAATACTCCATAATTTATCTGAGGTACTTGTTATTCAGAAGGTTGCTTTTTCTTCTATGGAGAGAAATTATTTAATTGAGTCATGGAAGTACTAGTAACATCTTGAGCTATTAGATCTAAGAATCTGGTTTATAATGTTTGTGTAAATCCCACATTGAGAGTGCAGAACTTTCTACCTTTACTTTCAATTAGTACATCTGTCTTAAAAATAATATAAAATTCCGTGGTGGGCTTGAAGGAATACAAATAGCAAATATAGCTGTGGATCATCTGAGATACTGCAAAACATCAAGATTTCTGTAACGTTTGACAGCAGAGCTTTCTGTTTATTGTTGTTAACGAATGTTAAATTACTGTCCTGATGGCCAGTTCTGATATTGCCAGAGATATTGTTTGGAATGCAGAGTTAAAATGGAAATGCTAAAGATAGCCCTAACTTCACTGAAAACGTCTGTAAGTACAGGGTGTTCTCACTTGATCCCGAATAGAATGTTTATATTCTTTATTTCCAGCTCAGAAACAGTTACTGCCTTTTGGTCAGGTTTTTTGATCAGCTAAGGTTGTGTTGCTGGTATTGTTATATGTTCAGTGTTCAACTGTACAATGACTATTTTAGAGTGTATTGGACAATATATCTTCATATGTATATGTGCACAAACATGCTAGGCCAAAAAAAATCCTGCATATGGAGTAGCAGTGGTTGCAGTATATTTTTGAGGTTGTGTGCCTTTCTCCAGTGCCCAGAGAAGCAAACCAACTCTCCTCCTTCCTGCAGGGAGTCTTAGGTTTTCATAGCCCACTTTCAGTTACAGTTCTAAACCTGGCTACCTTATTCCTGCACTTGAATTCCTATCCTGCTTATGTTCCTTCTTGTACATGATGTAGCTCCCAGTTTAGCAAAGTCTGTTATTCCTCTATTTTTTTCCAATTCTCTTGTTTGTAACTGCCATTTTAACAATTCAGCTGCTTCCCTCAGTAATTCTTCTCAATCCTTCTAAAAATATAGGAAAATGCTAAGAACTGAAAAGATAAATTAGGAAAAAAAAAAAATAAGGGGCGGGATATAAAATGGCATACTTGTGGGGGAAGACAGTCTAATTATTATGGCCTGCAAGACTTCATAAGAAAGACATGGTTCCATGTCTGCATTTTAAGCTTTCTTCTGCAACATCTGGGCTTGATTACTGCCAAAGGTGGGATGCAGCAGTGGGTGGAGAGTCAGGATTGAGCCTGTACAGCTATTTTTATGTATTTATATTGCAAGGCATTTCAGGCCCAAGTAGTGGAATCTGAAAGGAAGTGGCTTAATTTCCCTGGATGTTAAATGTGTAGGCCATATTATTTTTCATGTCATTCTTTTTATTTGAGACTTCTTTCTTTAAAGGCAGGAGAATAGCAAAATACTACCCAGTAAATAATTTTCAGTACTTTTAGTAAAACTAAATTAAACCATTAAAAATGTGGAAATTTTGAAACAGATGGTATTGCACCTTTATTAAGGAATATAGCTTTCAAATATTCTAGCATCATTCACTTGCACAGTTCATGAAAGTAATAAAATTCTTTTCATGCAGGTCTCATTTAGAAGTTCTATGTAGTGCATTGCCACTGTTCACCACATATTTTCTGGGTATTTTGTAAAGGAAAAGGGCACTTGTAACTGACTTATAACCTATTTTTAAACTCTGGTTTTCAAATTTAGATCTTTTTATACCTTTTGACAATATGATATGAAGATTGAGCCTCTCCTAATTCTCTAATACCAGAAACACACCCTGTATCTTGCTGGCAGAAGGGGGTCAGCTATTTTAAGAGATGAAATATCTGGTTCTATACCCAAGACACCAGTAAGAAGTAATTTCCTACTCTTTTCTTGACTGGAGATTTATATTTTATCCGTCATTTCTGTAGAAAGAGGAATGTGTTTTTAGGCAACTATTTGGTTGCCTAAATAAATGATGAAAGGCTTCAAATAATGAGATCTTCATAATCAGTTATAGATTCTGACAGTTTTTGGTTTTTATTCTGAAAACCAGAAAAGATTGTGGCAGTACCTCATAAAGACGATGCCTTCAGCTGAAATCCCTCTTTGCAGCTTGATCAATGCCTGATTGCATTTGCTTGAAAGCAACTTAGAGCTCGTTAGAACAGCTAGAAACAAAAGCAACTTCCCTCCTTTGTTCTGGTAGTTTCAAAGTTTTGGTGGTTGTTGCCTCAGAAAAACAAGTGTTTAGAACATTTTGATTTCATGGTAGGGATATCAGGGAAATTGAGGAAGTAATTTTTATTGCTACTTGGAAGCATGTAATAGAATCACAGAATATCACAAGTTGGAAAGGATCAGTTGGAATGGACAAGGATCACTGCATCCAATCCTAAGGACTCCTGTCAGTATAGCTGTGTTATAAAACGATGCAAGGGGCAATGCTGCAATTTGCACTGTTTGTATATGTAACCACTATTACAATGACACAGTTAAACCTATGTAATT